TCTTTATGAATTCTGTAAGGTCACCTTCATAGACATTCTTTTGGTGTTAACCATTACATAAAGAACCTTTTGTGATATCATCTTTGTAGTACATTCTTTTGTTATTAATGTTTAGGAACAGATAACAAACTGGAAGATCATCTTTATAGTGTTTCCATTTGGCATAGATCTTTATGAAAAGAAGCTTTAGTTACATCATTTTCATAGTAAGTTCTTATGTTGTTATCATTTATGAAGATAAGCTTTTATGACATCATCTTTGTAGTACATTCTTTTTAAAGAACCTTTATGAGCAGAACTCATTGTGACATCATATTCATAATACATTCTTTTAGTGTTATGAAGAGAGCCTTTTGTGATGTCATCTTCGCAGTACATTCTTCTGTTATCCTTTATGAAGAGAAGCTTTTGTGACATTCCTCTTTTGTTGTACATTCTTTTGGCATTCACTTTTATTCTTTGTCACGTAATCTTCATAGTACATTCTTTTAGTGTTAACTTTTATGAAGTGAGCCTTTTGTGGTATCATCTTCATAGTAAATTCTTATGTTGCTACCTTTTATGCAGAGAAGCTTTCATGATATCATCTCTGTAGTACATTCTTTTGCTGCTTTCATGACATCATCTCTGTAGTAAATTCTTTTGGTATTAACCTTTATGAGTAAAACTCTTTGTAACATTATATTCATAGTATCAGGTCATCCCATAAGTTCTGTCCAAATTTTAACTTTTTGTTAAAATGAACGAAATTTAAAGAGTATTTTATAATGTCTAATAGAGCTGAACATTATTTTTATGTTTAGATGCATTTAAACTGATCAAATTTTATTTCAGAGAACAATAAAATTAAATTTTGTTTGATTAAAACCCTGCTAACATGGAAGTATTCAAGAATCATTTGAGGCACATAATTCTTTATGAGTTCAAGAAAGGAAACTCAGCAGCCGAAGCAGCTAGAAACATTCATTCAATTTATGGAGAAGAATGTGTGAATGAAAGAACTTGCAGAAGATGGTTTGCCAAATTCAGAGGTGAAGAAGATCGAACCGGACGTCCAGTTGAGTTTGATGAAAAGCTTCTTGAAGCAGCCCTTGAAGAAAATCCTGCTTTATCAGTTGAGGAATTGGCAGTGGTTCTCAGTTCAAACCATACAACTGTCCATCGTCATCTTCAACAACTTGGAAAAGTTCCTAAACTTGGAAAATGGGTGCTTCATGAATTGTCTGAAAACAACCTCAAATCCCGAGTTGACATCTGCTTTTCTCTCTATTCTTTAAACTTGTTTCACCTTTTTTGGATAGACTTGTGACTGGCGACGAAAAATCTTTTATCGAAATGCTAAGCATCGTAGACAGTAGCTTGGTAAAGGGGAAGGACCTCAGCCACAGCCGAGAAGTGAACTTCATGGGCAAAAGGTTCTTCTTTCAATCTGGTGGGATTGCCAAAGAGTAATCCACTTTGAATTCTTACCACCTAATGCAACAATTAATGCTCAAATATACTGTCAGCAATTAGAGCGTTTGAACCAAGCTTTGAGAAAAAAAAGACCTGCTCTAGTGAATCGAAAAGAGGTGATGTTTATCAGGACAATACGCGACCCCACACAGCAAGAATCACGTCACTAAAGATCAAAGAACTTGGTTGGGAGAAAATTCCTCATCCACCTTATTCTCCCGAACTTGCTCCTTTAGACTACCATTTGTTTCGTAGCTTACAGAATCATTTGGAAGAAACAGCTTTTGTAACACAGGAAGAGGTTAAAACTGACATTTGTGAGTTCTTCGAATCAAAGCCAAAAGAATTTTACAGTAATGGAATTAGTAAGCTTGTTAATAGATGGAAGGAAGTCATAGATAATCAGAGAAAATACATTGTTGATTGAATCTGTAATTAAATGTAACATTTGGTCACTTGTTTTCTTTATTCAAAATTTGGACAGAACTTATGGGATGACCTGATATATACTTTTATAGGTACCTCCACTTTTTTGGAAAAACAGCATAGCATGATGAAAAAAAGCTGCAAACTCAATAAAAACAAAGTTTTATCATCAAACTGTTTATGTTATTATTAAGAGGAAAGACCAAAGTATTTTTTTATTATTTTTCTAAATTTTTTTTATCCCTTCTAGAATGTTCAAAATTTTGGTTAAAAATTTTGTTTTGTTTATGTCAGCGATCAATGTAATAATTGCAATTATTTTTTTGCACTTTTTTCGGGTGAAAAACACATTGATTTGGAAATTCTTGCAAAAAGTCAAATGAATGTTGAATTTTAATGAAACTTTCAGGACATATTCAGAAATGAATTAAATTATTTTGGAAATTTTTTTTTAGAAAATCTTGGTAAAAAATATATTTTTTTTTTTTACACATATTAACACCCATTTATTTAATTTCATGAAATTTCTAGAAATTCATTTTTTAGGACAGGGATTTTTTTTTATTAGTTAAAAGCAGGACTCCTTGGAGAATGTAAATCATCAATTTTTTTTTTGTAAAACAGTTAACCCATTCACCAAAAATCTGCTCTGAATTATAAAATAAAAAATGCAATAAAACTATTATATTATTTAATTAGAAAAACTTATAATTGCTTGTATAAATAAGATTTATTAAGGACACTATTGTCTTAAGAAAATTTTTTTCAATGAATAATTAATTTTTACAAGAATGGTTTTAATTTTAATTAAATGATTTATAATATTAAAAATCATTTAAAGTTGTGCATTACTTCAAGGCAGTTATGAGATATCGTTATTAAGTGAAAACTACATCTACGGATCAAAAATTGAAAAGTTTACTATAGTCATTTGTACCCAATATTTTTAAAAGAATCAAAAATAAAAATTTTTAGTGTACAAATGCTCCCAATTTCTAACTATGGTAAGCCATAAATTGTATTATCCTTTAAAAGTTCATGTGATTTAAGAGTTGTCTGGTATGTAAATTTTGGTCACCCATACTTTCCTCAGAACTTATTGATACCTCAATAAAGATAAAAGAAAAACAGAACCCGTCCTTAAAAAATGCTTATGCATTACTTTTTTCAAATCAGATTAATTTAACTTTAAATTTGCTAATTTTACTCAAATAACATGTCACAAATATATATTTTATTTTTGGAAGATTTTTAAAACGGATAATTTTGTTTTGTTTACAAATTTCTTAAAGTTAAGAAAATAGTCACTTGTAAGAAGATTTTTTGAAATTAGCCAAAAAGTTGAGATTCCAAGCTATATAATTTCTATTTGAAATACACCAGGATATTTTACTTACAGGAAATAGTAAATTTAATCATTTAGCTTTCAATTAAAGCTAAAATGAAATCTTCAAGAATGCTTTTTCATTTTTAAAAATTCATTTTAAACTTTAGATATTGAAAATTCAGTGACAATACCTATACTTTTACTGTTAACTTTTATGAAGTGAGCCTTTTGTGAGGTCATGTTCATAGTACATTGTTTTAGTGTTAATAGGTGTGCTATGGAAGAAGTGAATATTCTCCCAGTTTCTACTGCTCCCATTATGGGCATTATTGTATCTTTGATATTATAACAGCTTAATACATGGATGGAACAAAATTGCTGAAAGAAAAGTAATGACAAATATGCTTTGTCCTCAGATAAAGTTTTATATCGCTAAGTAATACATAAAATTACATACACATTTACATCTCTCAAACACAGAAACTACACATGTATACCATACAGGTATTGCGAAAAGGGGGACAAAATAAGAGAGTCTTACTTGTAATAATACCTAACAGGAATTTGAATTGCTGGAGGGTCTTCTGTCTCTGGAGAAGCCATATTTATGATCCCCAACGAAGATTTGAGAAGGTTGAATTTATTTTCTATGGCATTAGTGACAAACAGGAAACAGTGAATCATGGGTTTTTCCCCAACATGAGGATGCCAAGTTGGAAAATGGGTCTATGGGTTTGTGAGTTTTGGCAGTTCCCCTTGAGGGAGACAGATTTAGCCTTGGCTTGGGCTAGGCAGATTTAGCCTTGGACATACTGAAATAAAACATGTTTGACTGACAGACTGACCATTTTCATCACTATGAAGTGATGTCACTAAGCAGCTATCATGTGACTTTGTCTCAACAAAGGGGAGCTAATCACCGTTTGTATCCCTACAATGTGAACCTTCATGAAGAGAGCGTTTTGTGAGATCATCTTCATAGTACATTCTTTTATTAACCTTTGTGATTTCATCTTTGTAGTACATTCTTTTGGTGTTATCTTTTATTAAGAGAACCTTTTGTGACATTATTTTCATAGTACATTCTTTTGTTATTAATTCTTGTGAACAGAACCTTTTGTCAGGTTATCTTCTTGGTACATTCTTTTGGTGTTAACCTTTATGTACTGCAAAGAAAAGTAATTATATCAGTAGAAACTTTGTAGTACATTCTTTTGTTATCCTCTGAACATTTTGTGTGGTCTACTTCATTGTGAATTTTTTGTTCTCATCCTTTAGGCACTGAAAATTTTGTGATTTCATTCTTGTAGTACATTCTTTTGTTGTTATACTTTATGAAAATCTTTTTGCAGAAGAGCCCCAAAGTTCGTTTGACATTTTACAACATTTCTACAAGCTATATTTATTCAGAAAAAAGATTTTCCACTTTCTAAACTATTTGGAAAGAAGTTCTCCCATACTTTCTAAACTATTCAGACTCATAAAATTATTAAGTATACAATGTTCATTTATTTATATGGAGTGGGGTTGAAATAGAAAAAAACTGTAGTTGTAAATTTTTTAAGCAAGTCAATCTTTCTATAAATTGCTCAGAAAGCTGATTACTTATATATTAAGATTGGGAAAGATTCTGAATGTTTTTTATTCTATAAATCACTCCAGATAATATCAGATCTTTAAGATAAATCAAATTTTCATAAGTTATTTACCACAAATATGTAAGTACAAAAGTAATGAAAAAAGATAGTCAGTACATAAACAGCACTAAAAGAAATTTTAAAAAAATAATTACTTTGCTTTTAAATCCAGTAAATCAATAGATTTTGTTTTCACATGTCCTCCTTTTTCATATTCTAAGATGATACCTGGAAAAAATAAATAAAAAGCAAATAATGTTAAGAAAAATAAATTTGTTTCTTTGTAAGTAGCTATTTAAAATAGGTATAGATAGAAAAGTATAAAGAATGTTTTATAGATCCTTTTGGTATCTGCTTTAGAAGCAGATTTTTCAAGTCAGTGATTGATTTGTACTTCAAACATTTAAGAAACTTTCAATGACATTGACAGAGAAAATTAAACAGTTAAATAATTTTCAGAAAAGAAAGCATCATAAACTACTATATGAAAAATGCAAAATTTAGATTGTATAATAGAGAGAACTAATGATATACACATAAGAATAACATAAAAATACTATTAAATTCTTATTTTTTTCTTCAGTTCCCATGGAAATATGAAATAATCTCTCAGCTTGAAATTAAAACTAAAAATTTATTATAGATTTGGAAAAATGTTGCAAAAACATTATAAAAACAGAAAAAGATAGAATTATTTACCATCAAAACATACTAATCATAAATACAGAATAGCTTGTATGACTCAGTTAATTTGGAGAAATGAACTTGAAGAACTGAACTGAAAAAAATTCAATTTGTAATTTAAGATGACCAAAATTTGAATGACAAAAATAGTTTTGTTTTTCAAAGATGCAATAATTCATTTTATTGCTAATCAGAAAGATCACAAATTTGTTATTAAAATAATCTTTTAGGAGAAAATATGATTATATAAAAATATGACAACTCCTTCACTCAATCTCACCAGTGTCAAATACAGTTTTTGGCTAGAGTTATTACTTTTTGGCCATTTGGCTTGTTAGGCACACTTTCTTACAATTTGTGTGAAACACAATTACTGAAGCCAAAGAAATCTTTGTTTCACAAAATGAACATAGGAAGAAATAATTCACACTGAGTGAGCAGAACAGCAGAATGAATAATTAAGAGAAAAGAGTTAACAAATCTGGTACAAAAATAGCTGAAGCTGTCTGAATGGGAATCCAATATTATCAGATTGTTGAGTTTGACCAAACCCTACACCACAAGCAACACAAAGTAGTCACAGAAGAGCTTCTTCAACAGAAGAAAACAAATGAAATAAACATTTTTACCAAAAGTAAAGTAAATATCTTTTCTCAACTAAGGAATAAAGAAGACAGGTAGCTTTGCCTAGTAGGAGAGACACAGCTAAAGACCTGAAACAGTGAGTATGGATACAGCCAACATGCAAGATAATAATAGATAAAATAAATACAAAGTTCACAGAGGAAAACAAAATTCTGGCTATCACTTTAGTGTACAATACCATAGCACTATATCTGTGTGAGAAAAAGAGCCAAATGGTATCATAAAATTTGTTGCAATTTTTGGGATGAAGATTTATTATTAGGCAACTTGTTATTCGGATAAGCATGCTTTATCTTCGTTGTCATACAAACAACATTGTGGACACTGTACCATCCGACCCTCTTCAGGTGTCTGTCAACTTACTTTAGTAACTTTTTCGGAATTTTGAATCAAAATTTTTATTCATCTTGTGGAGACTGTTCTCATTCTGTTTTTACATGCTTAGAGAATATTTCATATCAGAAAATTTGTACCAAATTTGAAAAAAAATCTGTGTCAGTGATGGTCAGACCCTTATTGATTTGACATGGAATGATTCAGTCTTATTCACTTTTATGTTGCTTATAAATTTCTTCCACTGAACTGGAGTATGTAACTCTTCTGCACTACCCAAAATAGAAACTGAACTCACAACAGCCAGGTAAAAGGAACAGATATGTTATAGAAAGGTAAATAACTCATATCAGTTAATATTCATCATATTGATATGAGTTATCTCCTCTAAACATGGAATGTAGAATGAGAACAATTTACCCCAAGTAGGTTATCAAGTGGGGTGAATGACAAAAGTGAATTTTATTAATCAGAGTTTATCAATAGAGTTGACATTAGACATAGACATTATAAATGTGTGTGTGAATGCTAAGTGAAAATAAAGCATTGAGGGAGGTTATATTTTATTTCTATTGTAAAGAACAAAAATTGATAGTTAAGGGATGGGGGTAACTAGTATACCTAGTAATTAGAAACAAGTAAAAAGTAATTTGAACAGTGCTGCTAACAACAAACTTAGCTTCTGAGTACTATTTTTGCCAGACTAAGTATGATAACAAAAACCTGAAGAAAGCTGGATGATACACTAACTGAAATGAGTCTAATAAAAAAAGATGAGCATGCTGGTCTGAATAATAAAGCATATAACTCCTTCCAATCAATTTAAATTAGTTTTGAAATACAGCACAGTATTTTGTTTATTGGAAATATTAAACAATCTCTCAGCTTGAAATTAAAACTAAAATAAGTCTCAAGAAAGATATTAAAAATTCATTTTAAATGTTAGGTATCACATTTTTGTGGAAGTACCTGTATCATAAGTAACATATCTGTTGTATTTAAACCATGTGTGAACTAGCTGACAGGAAGAATACAGATGAAAGGGAAGACAATGAAAAATGTATTTGTGTTTAATTATTTTTATTAACTGACTAGATATGGTGGTTAGTAGCAGCAGCTGTGTGATATCATAGGTAGAAGGGAAAATAATTATATGTATAACATCTCATTTTTTATTGCTTTTATATATGCATTTACTTTGTGTGTGTGTGTATCTTTACAGGGGTTTTATTGTTCATCCACTTTTGATTGTGTATTATTTTGTCGGGGAGCGCTTTTGGCTGGGGTTTGGTATATTATCATAATCAATATCAACGTCAAGAGAGTTTGTATTTGTTTCTTTGTTTCAAGTAAACAAAGTTTGTTGAACCATTTAATTTTCTTCTAGATATGTTCAAGGTTGTGGTAGTTTTTTAATTATTTTACCTTTTCTGAGTCAATTGTCTTCAAAACTTAATTCTGACACTGTCATTTGAAAATAATTGGGGTAGTCAAATTGTGGGATTGTTAGGAAGTTCGTACATGCACAATTGTAGTAGTAGTTGTCACAAGTAACTTTTCTTCCAGTCTATCTCGAGTTCTGCCTATATATAGTGGTATGGTTATGCTAATTAGTATTAGCGAAACCAATCCCACTAACCTTCAGCAATTCTTTTCTGGGATGGAATATAAATTCTAGTGGTTTATGATCTGATCTGAGCAAAATCTTTTTCCCTTACAAAAATTCTCTTGCTCTGGTCATGCTCCATGCTATAGCCAATGCTTCCTTTTTAATATTTGAAAAGTTCTTTTTGACTGGTTTTAACTTCCTGGAAAGATACATCACTGGGCGTCCTTCTTGTGGCAAAATTGCTGATACAAACTGTCCACTTGCATCTGTTGTTAAGGTGACTTCTTTTTAGGGTCAAAAATCTTGACAACCGGTTTCTTGGATAATGCTAACTTCAATTTAACAAAGGCTTTTTGTTGAATATTAGTCCACTGAAACTCCTTATTTTTCTTTCATAAATCAGCAAAAGGCTCAATTCTTTCTGAATATTTTGGTAAGAACTTGCTATAGAAATTAGCTAATCTAAGAAATGATTCCAACTCTTTCTTATTACTTGGAGGCAAAACATTCAATATTTTCTGTATCAACCTGGTGAAGTACCTTCCTCTGAGATTTGATGTACTAAAAAACATTAATTTTTTGCACTTGAATATACATTTATTCTCTTTTAAAGTCATTCCTGCATCTCTGAGTATATTCATTACCATTTTAGTTTTCTGTTTTAATTCTACTTCAGTACGGGCACCCAGCCCAATATCATCCTGGTATATTATTATATTTTTTACTTTTCCTTCTAGTGTGACAGAGAGAGAGTCTGGGAAACACACACATATATATCTTTTTTTTTAGTGAAATTGGAGTAGATTTGAATAGCGAAATTAAATCAGAGCATTTTGTTTGCTGATGTGGAAATCTGATCTAGGGCAGAAGTTGTACTCATTGAATCTGAGTCATCAGGAAACAATGGAAATGGTTGAAATAATTTTTAGTGATTAAAAATTAAAACAGAGCTGAGTAAACTAGAAGGAACTTTTGAATTCACATGATTTTGGTTGAAGCAGCCAGAACCCCGTGATAATTGCGTGCGAAGTAGTAGGGCTGAGGGTTAGTTATAATCAGCCGGGTTTATCTATATAAACACGTAGTTATGCTGAAAAAGACAGACGGGAGAAAATTCTTGAAGAGAGAAGAGAGAATTGGCCCGGGTGAGCGTTGGGAGGAGGAACACCACTATCACTTTAAGCCCCGCATAGAAATCTTTATCCCTCCATCGCAAGAGTCATATATCATTCTGAGATGATTTAACATCAAGATAATCACATACACACTCTCTCTCTGTCTAGAATCTAGTGTATGAGTTGTTTTTTTTACTTTTCTTTTCTGTAACCCATTTCTCTTTTCTACTATTCTTTTCTGCTATATAAAAGACATTACCAATTCAACCATTGAATCAATGTTTGTCCGGCTTTCTGCAGATATTAATTTTTTTTTGCTGCATTCTAAATTTCTTAGTGCAGAGTCTTCAGCCGTGTCTACATCTTCAGTCAACCGTGAATGGACAGACATCACTTCTGCTTTCTGGATCAAATATATCACAGTGTGGGCAGGAAGCAGGATTAAACCAGTGGACCGAATAATCTATGGATGCTCAGGGGACCTATGGCCACTCCCTTAAATTCGGTGAGGACAGAGTAGACACCTCAACCCCGAGAGTAAGACGCTGGAGGTTGAGGGGCTGGGGCGAAAGTGTTAGACTAGTAGATTTTCCATGGGTCTCTGAAAAATCAAACTCGCTGTCTTAACTCCAGATGGTAAGCAAGTCCACCTCAATAAGCCTATAGGCGAGTTTATTGCCATAATTTCTTTGAATTCATCATCTATTTGGATTTGGTTGTATGCATTTTCTAGGTCTATTTTAGCAAAATATTTCATTCCTGTAAAGGAATTCAATATGTTTTCTACATTTGGAATAGGACATGAATCTGAACAAATTTTGTGATTCACACCTACCTTGTAA